GGAGGGAGGGGGCTCGGGGGGGGCGGAGCCGCCAGCCGCTCCGACTGTCGCTGAAGGGGGGGATGATGAGAATGTTGGGTTGAAGACCTCAAGGGAGCCACGAGAGTCGCGGGGTAGAGAAGGCAGGATGGAGGACTTATAGGCATAGCCGTAGCGTTGATCATCATTGTCATCCATTCCTCCTGCCAGTATATATATACATTTTTAGAAGTCGGGTTAGAAGGGCGGAACAACCGCTCGAAATGTTTGGGAAATTTTGGTCGATATAAAATTACATAATTCTAATTTATAGATAAATTTAATAAAATTGAAAAATATTTACTGTAAATATAAGTATATAAGCTATAAATTAAATATTATAAAAGATTAAAATTAGTTAAATTTTTTAAGCTCTTTTTTACTAAAATTAAATCAAATATCATAATCATTTCTTCCTTTGCAAAGCATCAGATAAATATGATTTGAAAAATAGGACAAACGTAAAACAAAATAAATTTCTAACATAATTTATCATTTTATTTTCAATTATGACTATCATTTTGACATATCTGTGAGCTTTATCCTTCAATAGCAACCCTCTGAGTAGATCCCTATCATTTCGCCCAAACCTCACATTTATCTTCTTCTTCCCCTATAATTGACCTTTATAGATCTATATCTCAATTATTGCCTTTTTAATCATTGTCAATTATCATTCTTGTGATATAATATAGTTTTCTTTTGACTAGCACCACTGCATCACATCCTACCTAGTTCAAGTGTATCTTTATCAACTCATTTTTGAATTAATATCATAAAAAATCTTTCCTATTTTAAGTAAACACTTATTTCTTATAAAAGATATTAAAGCCTTTGCAGAGACTATTGTGTAGTTACACTATCAATCATCCTATAATTAGATCATATGGATGTTGATGCGAAACCATTTAAGTAGATTGCAGTCAAAATCTAACCCATCAGTTGTCTTCTTTGGCCTCGTGCTTTGAGAAATCCATAATATGCAATAATATGATCTAACTATATACATCAATTAAAAATAAAATTGCACATTGAGCCTACTTGAATTATTCTTGTGCCAGTATTTAATAATATAAAATTTTAAATACATTTTTATAATGTTTTATATAACTCAAAAATGGACTTTTGCCTCAAATGAAAAAAATATCCAATGAAAATTATATTTACTTATTTCAAAATATGTAGAATAACTAGGGTAAGAACATATTTAAAGTTATATGGTGAAAGTTTCCAAAATGTGAGAATCTCATAAATTTGGTAAGTTTTAGGCAATAAAAAGTTTAAAGAACACGCAAAATGGCAAAACTAACTAACTCAAAGTAGGCTATTGTTAGTGACAGTCTGAACTCTCACCCATCAAGGTATTATTCGATTTGGTCTGGTAGTCTTACAATTTTGTCTTGTTGGTGTAACTTCTCAGGAGGTCACCCATCCAAGAGTACTTTAGCACGAGCACTATTAATTTTGGAATTTTCAATGAAATTTCACCATTACACCAAAAGTGGCCTCCATGCTTAAAAGTTCAGAGTTTCACAATCTCTCTCACTTAAAGTACCTGACATCCACATCAATGTTTTATACCCAGAATCATCCACTAGCATCTAGGATTCTAAAGGTGACCCCTAAGTATTCAAGAGGGCTCCCACCATGTAGCACTTTGTCCTATATTGGTTTCAAGAGTTAGCACTCATGGCGTAGCACTTTGGTCTGTATGACACTTAGTTCCCATCTTTTCAATTGTTGTTATGATCTAATACTAACTATCTAAACTCTTATCCACTAAGGTATTGTCTGCTTTAGTCAAATGGCCTCACAGTTTTGCTCTGCTGATGTAACTTCCCAGCAGGTTACCTAACTTAGAAGTGCTTCATGACAAGCACGATTAACTTTGGAGTTTCCATTGAAATTTCACTGTTAGACCAAAAGGTGTTTCGGTGTTTAAGAGTATGCTTCAATCTACCTAAGGGGTTTCACACTCTTTTCCACTTAAGTTCATGATGTTTTCATTAGTGCTCTAACACCAAGTTAGTATGTTATGTTCCCAACTTATTATAATTTATTATCATATATGGGTTATATCTGGTCAGCTAGTGACTAATGGATGATTCTTGGTGCAGAAACTGACAAGGACGTCAGTTACTTAAATGGGGGAGATTGTGAAACTCCTTAAATAGATTGAAACAAAACTTAAAAATTGAGCTGCCTTTGGTGTAATTGAATTTCATTAGAATCTCCAAAGTTAAGTGTCCTCATGCTCAGTCACTCCAAAAATGGGTAATGTCTGGGAAGTTACACCAACGGTGCCAAATCGTGAGGCCACTTGGCCGAAGTGGATTGTGCCTTAATGGGTGAGAGTTCTAGATCTTTTTAATCCTTAACACTTATTTTTAAGTGCCGGCCAAAAATAACAAGTTTAGGATCTTTTACAATTCAACTTCTCTAACTAAATATGCTTTTACTTGCTATCAAGCTGGAATTTTTGCTCTTAACATCAACTACCTTATCAAAACTTATATGCCTACTTGACTAATGTACCTAATGCCCTCTAGAATAGTTTAAATTATTTTCTTTTAGCTTTTCAACTAACAATGATAACTCACTAATGTTAAAAGATGTAAATGTTAATTTCAACTGATCTTTTTAGACTTGTAGAAATTTGTGATATTTTTCTAATGACCTTACATAATAAGAGTGTAAGAGTGTTAAGGATTAAAAAGATCCTAAAAGAAAAAGAAAAAGAAGAAATAAAGAAAAATAGTGAGGAGAAGCCTAATAAAAAAATTAGTTTTACTTGAATCTTCATAAAGTAAAAGACCTAGATACAATCCTAAACTTGTTTTTATTCCAAAAAGTATTAGCAAATTTTTTACAAATAGAGTGTTTAAATTATGATTTTATACTTTCTAGGAATCCCAAGTTTGACAAATTATAATTATTTTTGAAGTAGATAAAAAATCAGGATTCCTAAGTTAAATACTAAATATGCTTATACCCAAGTTCAAGCTTCCAAGCTCGATCCACTAGAATTTCTCCTAAGGTGCACTATGACATTCCTAAGGCAAAATTATAGGAAATCTTGAAGAAACCCACTACCTCAACTCAACAAAATTAGTTTTTAAAGTTGTAGTGTTATTTGAGGACAAGTAACGTTTAAGTTTGAGGGATTTTGACATGTCTTTCAACATGTTAATTTTCTTTGTTTGTTACACTTATTTTTTGATGAAACTGTATTTTAAAGAAGGGTATTCTTGTGTTTTTATTATAGGTATAAAATGTAGGACATATTGAAAATGAGCAAAAAAAGAATTGAATGGAGCATATTGGAACCATCAAGCTTGACGCCTAGGCGCCAGACTTTGGGCACAAAGGCATTCCATCCAAGCACCTTGGCTCCAGCATTTTGGCCCCTAGGCGTTAGAACAAGTGCAACAAACCGAGAGGCCGACGCCTAGGCGCGAAATTCTGGGTGTCAAGGCGCGACACCATGACTTGGGGAGTTATGTGGTGGTTTTAAGAAGTTCAAAAAAAGATTTTTAGGAGGTCGAAGCATTCTAAAAAAAGAGGAGAAGTGGAAAGAAGCCAAGGAGTCCCAAAGAGATATATGGTTTGTAAATTTTCACTTTTCTTGAGAGATTGACGAGGGGGTTAGAGAGAAATCTGTGAGGGAAGCATTGTAACATTACATGGAGGACTTGGATTCATTGTTTGAGAAACGTTTCAACTCTTTTCAAAGGAGAGAAACTAAGTATCGTGTTTCCCTTTATCTTGGACTTGTTGTAAACACATATTTAGTGTATTTGTTTTGTTAAATGATGATGATTTCTATTTATAATCTTCATGTTTTGTGAGTAGATTTTCATTTACATTTCTCTTGTGATAAATAGGTAGGATTTATAGGATGTGTTGAATTCTTTTAGAATTAGATTTTAATACTAATTTGATGGTCTTTCCTTCTATGCTTCATTTACTTTTTGTACTGATCATATGAATTGTCAAAATTTGTTGTGAACCCATAAGACTCAGAAGAGATTTGGCATGAACAACTAGAGAGATCACATTGAACTAATGGGTGAAGGAAAAGTACTCCATAAGGCAATGCAAATAGATAGAAAGATAGGTTTTGATGGGTATAACTTGTAGGTTTCTAGGGTGAAAGGCAAAACACTTACCAAGCTACTCGAAAGACAGTAAACAAGATATATACTCCTTTTTGTCAGTAGCTACAATAGAAATTCTTGGTATTTGATCTTACAAACCATATGCAATCACAAGAGAAAGGTAGTTTTCATATCTTAAAATTCACCAAACCAATTGATATAGATAGGATTAGCTTTAAACTTAGTGTTGTAGTTTATGAGTGATTGTTAGAAAAACCATTGCAATTTGCATTCCAAACTAAGACCATAATGTAGTAGGCTAAAAATTTACATAAGGTACTCGTTACCTCCTTCCCCGTGGGATCGATAATCTAGACTCAGTAGATTCATACATTATTGAAATGATACGTATACTTGCGTGAGAAATCCCGGTGAGTAATTGTAGCAATATTTGCTTAGATCACTCAAAGTGACCAACCATTAGAGTTAGTGCTCACATTTTCCCCCTCATCTTGCATAAAAACTCATGTAAGTAGGGAGCCCTTATGCTTCTTCTGGAGAGGGGGAGGGGCAAGCCACTCAGATTAGTTACAGAAGCTTTCCCCTTATGGTGTGCTTCGCTTGTGACCAACTGGCTCAGACTCAGACTCATGTTTACTTGGGCCAACTAGAGAAAGGTGATTGACTTTGTCCCTCACAAACAATTTGATAAAGTTCAAAGTGGTTGACCGAAGGACGACATATCTTACTTCCTATCTTTCTGCCAAAGCCTCCCCCTTGGCACCGTTCGAATCCACTCAGCTTGATGTCTTCTCAGCCTCTTGGTGTTGCGCACGTGAGGGACCTACAACAGAAAAAGAGCTTTTCGTGAGCATCACAAAAGTTTTCCTCCCGATAAGGATTGGCTCATCATTAGCGATCCTTTAAAAAATAATAGAAGGCTCAAACAATGAGAAATCATTTTTGTATCTTCAAGATCTTTGCAGGCGCAAACCACCAGAAGATTCTTTTGGCTCTCCATCGCAACAGCTTTGACGTAGGCTGACTCAACACATTTAGCTACTCGGGCTTTCTTTTTTGTGGTTATGGCGGCAACCGCTGCCTCTCCCTTAGATTCCCAAGCGTCAGAGGACGCCCATTCCTCCTCCATCATTCGTATGAAGGCATCCAGTTGCAACACTGGATTGACAATTGCCAGATCAAGATGTTGGTGGACTGAAAGTTGTTCCCTTCGACCCTGCTTGCTTCCACATGCAAGTAGTTCGACGCCTTTTTCTTCGAATTGATAAGTGGGTTGTCGGACGGAACGTTCTAGATATACAAGTCGTAGGGAGAATAACCAGCGCATAAATAAATTTTCTAGTCCTTCACTTTATTTTTCAGCCCTACTCGTTGCAACTTGCTAAGGGAGGCAAACTGAACATAATAATCCAAACTGACCTAGAACGAGAATATATATGTGAAGAGCTCCGTCGACTAGAGAATTTCAGACCAGTGGTAAAAAAAATGATGAAGGTCATGATGTCAGCAATATAATTCAGTAGAATTTGAGCATAAAAGACTATAATGATATAAAATTGCCCACAGCTCACAACAAAAAGAAAGCCTTAAATTAAAGCAGAATTGATCCTAGTAAAAGAAGGTTAGTGCTGTACGGAGTGGTCACTCAGGTGTTCTCACCAGCGACCCAAAACTTGATGTTAGGATCGAAGTCGCAAGTCTCCTGCAGTCGATCCAGCTCCCCATGAGTCATCGTCGATCAGTCAGCTACAATGATCCACCCGAAGGCTTTTAGAGAGTACATTGGAGCTATCAAAGTAGAGCACAAAAAGCAAAAAGCCGAAGAAACCGGGAGAAACAAAGAGAAGAAGACAATAAAAAGAGCTGCGACATACATCCCCTCACTCTTATATATAGGTAACGAAAGAAATAGAACCGTCACACATGGTAAAAAATCAAATTATATAATAATTTCAAAAACACGTTGACAGAAAGATCAAATCAAAAAAGGAACGGAGACAAAAAAAATAGAAATTATTTCAATAAAAAGCATTGCGAATTACAAAAATGCTGGTGAAATAGTTTGAGAGAAAATATTTTACAAGAAGATCATTCGTCGATTCAGCCAACACAAACCTATATCGAAGTAGCCTTTTATTCAAAACTTATCCCCCATTCATGAGTATAACCATCCGCGCCAATGCCAGCAAGGTCAAAGCCCGCTGAGTCAAGAAAGATGATCGAATGAACTGAATTCGGGCCATTCAAAGATATATCCAAGCCAAACTGCATGAAAAAGTCGACTCGGGGGAATTCTTAGCCCCTTAACATCTCCTATTATATTGAAGACAATTAAAAACTCACTCATCTTTAACACACCAAGATTAACTCAGTCAATTGAATTTGTATTGACGACCCAAGACCATTCAACCTCAGCTAACCGACGACGCCGACTAAGCCTTAGCAGACCTAATCAGCCCTGTCGAGCTGAAGCCAAACAAATTCAGTGGACCAAGCCAAATAGCAACTAAACAATAGACTCATACCTACAAAATACGAAGAATACCCTGTACGCCCCCATTAAAGTAGAGGCACAAAAGTAACATCATCATATCATACTTTCTCTCTCATATAAATAGGGAGATCATTTGATGAACAAGGGATAGCCAAAATTACACAAAGGTCAGGAAGCTTCAACGCGATTAATGTAATTTACTATTTATTACTGTTCACTATTTTTTCTATTTTTTTTTCTCTCTCTCCTTTATTAATTTTTATTCTTTGGAGTGTGATTCACAGACAAATGAGGTTTTAACAATACTCGTGCATAAGTTTGTGATACACTAAGATGGTTTTAATAAACATCAAATTTTGGATGTTAGATATGTAAATACACAAGAATTATGTGATATGCATGTAAAGTTTCCTTCAATTTAAATGTGATCCGTGATATGTATTGGGGATCAATCATCTAATAAATTTTATATTAAGAATGACACATGTCGGTGTCAGATGTTTTGGACAAATTCATAGATTCCAATAAGTCCCATCTATTTAACCATCAGTATCTAAACTCTTTTTTTTTACACTAATACCACCCAAATCTTTCATATCACTATTTTAATTTAAAAAAATCAAATGCAGATAAGGTAGTATATATGGCAAAATTAAAATTTGTGTTAGATATGTAAATACGTAAGTTAAGAGGTATGCATCTTCCTATTTTCTTGGCTTTGCTCGGTTCGAATGCCGAAAAATGCAAAAAAAAAAAAAATAATGATAATAAATAAACGGTGCATTTAGCTTAAAATATCTAAAATAAATCTATCAACCACTTGTTTTTTTCTTGCTATTTTGGTGTCCCTGGAGATACTTATAAGCATTATTCTTTAAAATATCTCACTTTCATGAAGTTAAAGCTCCAACTAAGCTAATAAAAATCTTAATTTTCTTCTGTGGCGCAGACTCATCCACATCGACGAACTTAGATGCTTAATATCCTCGTCCTCACATAAAAACAAAACTCAGAAAAACAAAATTTTTGAAATACATTTTAGCAACAACTTCAAAAAAAATTGTAACCAATGCTTGTTTAGCAAATAGCAAATTTTTCGAGCGCATTTGCAGTCTTGATATGCTATCCTCAAGCTCTTAATATCTTGAGGTGAATACCCACCATCCAAAATTGGTTTTTTTTTCTTTTTTTTGCCTCTTAGTCCTAAATTTACGAATTAGAATAAGTATCTTAGAGTAAAACGATTATCAATATAGAAGTTTCGCAGAGAGGAATTGACACAAGCAGAAGAATATATATAGATATATGCGAAGCTGAAGAACGACTTCGAACGATATGGAGGAGCGAGAAAGAGAGAAAAAACGGAGCTGTTCCTGCAGCCAGAAGACTTACCTCGAAAGAGATTAGTCTTTCCTTGTTGATTAAAGTCGCTTGCGGCCACTTGGTCCTTACTGTTTTGGCTTCTGGAATTAAGAGTTGGAAGAGGGGGGAGAGAGAGAGAGGTGGGGAGTGTTGGAAAACGAGAGAGACAGGTGACAAAAAATGAGGAGAGGGTTTATTACTTATTTGAGAGGGGATGTGGGACTTCTATAGCGGAGGGAGACAAGGCCACATGGAGAGCCACGAGTAGCAAGGCAGCCATTGGTCGCGCCTACTTCGTTGGCGCGACTCTCCCTCCCTTAATCGTCTCATTATCCAAATAGATATAATGTCCTTTGTAAGAATTTTTGCATGACTGCGTTTAAATTTTTTGAGGAACCATGATTGAAATGTTAAGTTTTTTAGAATCATAAATTTGAATTATATATTTCATTATTTATCATTTATCATTGTAAAAAATTAACGGTATAAAAATTTTTTTTTTGAAGTATCGCTACAAGAATACCTTCTGGTATTTTGCCAGCTGAATTTGATTGATCCGTTATTTTCCCGTCCGTTTTCTCTTTTTAAACCTACAAAATCATCTTCCCCTTCATCACTACTACTGGTACAGGAAAAAAACTCTAAAACCGATGACAAAACCAATGACCTATGCTTGCATTGCGAAAAAAAGTTTCATTTTCCAATGGTGCAGCGAAAGTTTTTGATCTGGGATGCTTGCGATGGCTTAACAATAGGGTATGTTGTCGCTTAAAAACAGTAAAATTTGTTTTTATGGTGTTAATCATTACTACGCCTTATGTTATCGGTTAAAAGAAATTGTTAACCAATGACCCTATTGTGTCTGTTATTTATGATCCCGCCACTAAGCAGGGTGGTAACTGATGCACTTTTTTTAATATGTTATGTTTTTCTCCATAGGTAATAATGTAAATTACCGACAGTCTAGTAACGATTTATGTTTGGGTTATTTGTGATGATATAACTACAGAATTTCTGTCACTTATAAATAATAACATTTTTGCTTGCGGTTTTTATTATTACCGACGCAATAATTCGTCAGTTAGAAACGTATACTAACAGACTAACATTTGTTGTCATTTATCTTTGAACCACCATTTGTCGGGTATTAACCGATGCATTTTTGTAATATGCGAAGAAAATTATCTTCAATAATAGTATCAAGAACCGACAGATTTTGAGTCGTGTATATGCCATAAAAAATAATCCATTATACTGCCAAAATATGCCACCCCCCCGCCCCCCCTCCGGCCTTAATCCCCTCCTTCCTCTCTCCTCTCTACCCGAAACCCTCTTCTCCCCCTAAAACCCTCACATGTCCCTCCACCCCCTCTCTGTTTCGTCCAAACCAACACCTTCGTCATCGAACCCTCGTGATACAATCGTTAGAAGCTAGTTGAGAACACAACGACATGAACACAATTTAGAGTGACTGAATACTCCCATTTTTCTCCTCCTTCCCCTCTTCTACCCGAAAATATCGAGGAAAATAACTCATTTTCATTTATTTTTTTATTTTCAAATATTTTTGAAAAATGTGTTTAAGGTTAACGGTTTAGCAATCAGAACCAAATATTTTTCTATTTTTGTTGGATTACATCAGTAATTGGATATATGCCCACACATTTTTGCTTTAGTTATGGATGCTCTTACTAGACATTTACAGGAGCTTTACTTTAATGTATGATTTTCACTTGTGATATCCTTCCTGTGGATAAGACTAGGGAAAAAAAGTTTAGGAAAAGTAAAGCATTTAAGCGTGCCATGATCAAACCATTGTGAATTTCATAAAAATTAAAAATATGGGTTGGGTTTTATCATGACTTTTTATATTTGAGTAAGAATTTGAAAAATAGATAAAAGAGGGTGCTTGATTTGTAAATAGAAATGTTTTGGGTGTCCTGTTTGTAATCACCCCAAAATTTAAATTATGGGGTCTTCATTGGAGTCTAGATTCTTCACTTGAGTATATTTAGAACTAAATATGTGATATTTAATTTAGTAATAGTAGCTCTAGGGACGAAGTTGTAACTATGGGTGATCAAATCATTAAAAGGTGTGAACGTTTTAGATATCTCATGCCTCTCATTCAATTTTTAAGTGATATAGATGGTGATTTGATTAGCAGATTTCAAGTTGGTTGGTTGAAGTGGAGGAATGCATCCAGCATATTGTGTGACAGAAAATATTACGTGAGACCTGTAATGTTCTAGGCGTAGAATGTTGGGCTTTAGAATAAAGGGGCTATTCAGTTGAAAGCATGGTTTAATTTGAATGTGTTTTAATAAATCCCGCAAATCCAGAATTATCAAATCTGAGGTGCGAGCCAAATCCAAAATATGATTTAGTTTGAAAAATGATAATCACTCAGAAAATTATTCTATATTTGACTTGCACATAAAACTCGAATTAAAATAAACACGTTGAGGTACGAGCCAAAATTTTGGATCAAATTTATTTGAAATTTATATCATCTCAGCACAAAGTCGGATTGTTTAACATCTTAGTAATGCTAGTTATGTTGAAGATCCTTACATGGTTGAATTTTGACTTGTAATTGATTAAAACGTCTCCCTCTCATAGTGTATGCTACTATAATTATACCACCCTCTCACAAATAAATTTGTTTTATATTTTGTCTCCAAAATAATCATAAACTTAAGAATCCTCACACCCTCAATTTTTAACTAGAATAATTACATACCTTTAAACAGATTCTGAGAATGAACTATTTTTCATATGATATAAGAGTTTTTATTTATTCCTCCAATGGGATATCTAATTTCAATTTTGACAATGAAAATTTGAATTCTCTTACATCATATGAAACATTTCCTTCTCAAAATTTGTTTAGAGGTGTGAAAGCATTCTAGCAAGAGACATTGTTGAGATGAGAACACTTCAGTGGATCATTGACTTTACATTTGTAGAGGAAAAGTGAAAGAAATATACTTGTGAAATAGTTGGTGTAGTGATGCGTAGAAAAAAAAATGCTTGAATCCCTTTCTATTTTGCACATTTTTATGGATGAAATTGCATTTTAAAAAAATGTATTTTTATATTTTTCTTATAAGTACAACATGTCATAGAAGTAGAGCAAAGTGGAGAAGAAATGAAACAAGTTGGAGTTAACTTGGAGCTAAGGAGGACACAAGTGATCGACGTCTTGATACCAGATTTCTTGGGCGCCTAGGCGCCAATTCTAAACCTTGGAACCCGAGAGGCTGGTGCTCAGTGTGTGCCTAGGTGCCAGTTCACTAGTGCTATGGCACTGTATTTATTGGGCACCTAGGCTCTCATACCAAAACACACAATCATAGAGAATGACGCTTAGGCTCCAGAAACTGCCTGAGTAGTTTTCAGTGGTTCTTCTACACAATGTAGGCAATTATTCAACTTGATAAAAAAGTTCTTTAGGGAAGGAGTCTTTTGGTGATGAAGAAGGTAAGGTTCGCAGTAGGAGGAATAAGATAGGTTTTCTTGAGCATTATTTGAGGAATTTGAGTTGAATTGTAAGAAGAGTGTTCAGAATAGCATCAAGGGAGCAGGAGCTCCTTGGAGGAACATTCTCAAAGCTTTGTGAGGAGATAAAAAATTGTTTATTGTGTAATTTTTATTATTATATTTCTATAAACACAAGCACTAGTGGATTTTCTTGTTTTAAATGATGCTTTATGACGTGCTTCATTTTTTCTATGTAGATCCATTTTTTTTATTTTTCCTTTTAATGGTTGAGTAGGTTGTGTAGGAGCTCAAAGTTTTTCAAAAATTATTTTCTAATCTTGAATGTGATGGATAACCTTCTAAATTTCATTTAGTTTTCACTTTTGTCAAGTGATTAGTCAAAATGTGTTCGGTTCCATAATAACTTGGGAGAGCTATGATAAGACAACTAGGTTATTCACATTGATATATAGGGTATGGTGCAAGTACTCTATAGGGAGATGCAAATGTTAAGGATATAATCTGTGATTGATTCAAGTTGGGGTTTAAGGAATTAAACTACTTTAACCAAACTTCTTTATGCACTCAAGCGAGGGTAAAGAAGAGAATTTATCCTATTAGCCACATTCACAATTGACGATTTACATTTTCTATAGTAACACTTAAACTATTGTAAGGGAAGGTTACTTATAACTTGATAATCACCAAACCAATTAGGAAAAGTAATATTTCTTGTGAAGTTAACCTTCAAACTAGAATGTAATTCAGCAAATTCAGCAGGAGTAGTTTGTAGAACCTTTACTTAATTTCAATTCCAGGCTAAGATATAAATATTTTAGGTTAGAACTTTTTTTAAGTTTGATTCCCTCATTCCCTGTAGGATTGATATTATAGAATAAAAAATTTGATATTGCTAATATAACATGTACACTTGCTTGGGACCTCTGCACTAGGAATTAGGGTTGGGTTACAATTTTTTGGCATGGTTGAAGGGGAGCGATGGTGTAGTCAACTTAGAAGAATTTTAGTTGAATCTTTTAGGTCTAGACTTGAAAATCTATATTATTAGTCTTTGTGTGTGATTGGTTGTTTGTTTGAAATAGAAGAATTTTAAAAATATTTTTGTATGTTTGTTTAGTGTGTTTGTGTGAAACCTACTAGTTCAATCTTTAGTCACTAAATACGTAGTTCAGGATCTACATAACTTGAACCCTAAAATTCAGAACTAGAGAGAACTATTAGGATAATTAGAAAAAATAAAAGACTAACTATAGAAGAAATGAAAAATAATCAACAAATCAATTTAGATATCTAGGAATCAATTATGATCGTCATAACATGCGTAGATCTTTTAGGAATTACGCTAATGCTACGGTAGATGAAATTCACTTATGTATTCAAACCCCTACTATAGAAGCTAACACATTTGAACTTAAACCTTTTATCAACCAAATTGAGTAGAATAATTAATTTGGGGGAACCCCGTCTGAGGATCCAAATTTATATTTAACAAGTTTTTTATAAATTTGCGCTACATTTTGCTATAATGACATGTCCAATGATGTTGTGAGGCTAAGGATTTTTCTTTTTTCTTGATGGATAAAGAGAAAATGAGATTGAGCTCATTAGCACCTGGATCAATCAGGACATGGGGTGACTTAGCCTAAGAATTCATTACCAACTATTTTTCACCTTAAAAAACAACTAAACTGTAGAATGATATTACTTCATTTTTAACACGAAGGTGAGTCAATATATGAAGAAATTCTTAGGAAGTGCCCACATTATGCACTGTCCGATTGGTCGATTATTCAGACTTTTTATAATGATTTAGTTTAGATCAA